AACATCCCTTTCTCACGAACTTTCCTCACCAATTTGCGTATAGCTCCTTCGGTGGGTGCTCTATCACGACCCATATTTCTTTTCAAAATTCGTACAGTTTCGGCGACACAGCACTGACTTTGAAAATAAGTTTTTAAAATTTCAAAACGCTCTTCAAGAGAAAACATGTTGTTTCGTGCCGCGGACGGTATGACTAATAAACTGTCAAAATTTCGGGTCTGTAGCTCGTTTGGTGTTGCCATACGACGAAATTCAAAAACGTACCAATAGATGGCCCACCCTTTATATAGTATTTTCTTCAATAAATAATTTTGTAACAAATAATGAATTGAAAACATAAAAATTAATTAACTTTTTACTCTCCCAGACAGTACAGAATATTTATAAAATATTTATTAAATATTCTGTACTGGTTGGATTAGTCGAATAAACTTTTAAAATAAATATTAATATTAAAATAATAATAGAATTATTCTCTCTTTCTCCTGTGGTTTTCTCCTTAATTTTAATATAAAAATATAAATATATTATATAAAGTAATAAAATTGTAAGATTAAATAAACTCTTTAGTGCATTAATGCATAAAGTATTTTTAATTAAAACCAGTTTTAATAATTTACTAATTTAACAATAACTTCTTCATACATTACATATCCAAATGTTGATTAATTAATTCAATGTTTAATTTAATTTATACTATGCTTTCATTGTAAAATATTAGCTTTTTATCTCACTACACGTGCTTTTATTTATGTGTGGAGATAAAAAGACACTCTCCTGATACTGAAATTATTTTCACAAAAACCAAAACAATTTTTAAATAGAAATTGAAATTGACGAATGTGTTCGGGAAGACATTATCTATTTTTATTATTCCATCTTCTGTTTATTAGCTGTAAAACAAGAATAGCATGCTGGGAAAGAGATAAAATAAAGTTGATTTCATCATCTAACTTCATATAACGTAATTATAAATACTTTAACTCATGATTCCAATTTTTCTCGCTTTTCAACAAAGTGTAGGTTGAACTTTTTATTACTCACTGACATAATGAAGATTTAATAAATTAATTTATTTATATTGTGTCCAACCTCCGATATGGTTTAATAATTTTATCTATATTCTTTCTAACGTTTGACTATATTTTGGTTGTTGGTTTAAAACTTTTAAAAGTACACGTTTATAAATTCAATTATTATATAAAAATATGGTCGCCCTAATATGTATATTAATAACTTTATTTTTAGAAAAAAATATGTGAAAAAAAGGAAAAAAACGTACGATTAGAATATGGGATCTCCAGTATACTGTAAGAAATTTACTAGATATAGACACAATAGAAACCAACAGCGTCAGGACTGTGTGGCTCAGTGGCAGAACAAAAGTCTACCATATCGGAGAACACGCCTGGAATCGAAACGATATTAGATATATATAGGAGCGCCCTGATATTTTTCTCTATTGTTGTCAATTGTTTACAATACTGATCTCGCACCTTACGCACACGACCACATGAAATTCTTACAGACTGTATTTATAAACGCAGTATATAACTCCTATAAAAAATCATAAATAATTAATATCTTATAAACTATTGTGTTTTGAAATCATTTTTGCTATTATACATTAATGGGAAAGGTATATGATTACTAAAATTTATTAAAACTTATGTGTTATCTCGAATGCCCTTATACTGATATACACCGAGCGACCGAGATCGCTGAGAAAGCATTTTCGGTCTTCGATTTTCTACCAAGATAATCTCTCATAATTGTACTACAGTACACATCGAAAGATATCAGAACAAATTTTTATTATGCTTTTTTTACAAAAAATCGCTCTGAAGCCTTCAGAAGCCTTTCCTGATTACGAATATCGCAATTAAAACGCGATCTATCTAATATTTTTAACTGTATTTTGATATAAAAAAATTCATCTTTTAGAGGTCTCCATGGGTCTCTCCTGTCGAACCTTAAACGTATATAAATTAAGATTAAATTAAATAGCCAGTTTTAGCCGTTTAGAGCTAAAAGTAGTCGTAGTTGAACTGGGGTTAAGAAATTTTTCTGGTATCAAACATGGCATATAACCTTGTACTGTCATCTTCCGATCACAAGGATATTATTGAACAATTTAATAGGAGAGAGAAGATTTAAAGAACGTATTAATTATTTTGAGAAATTGGATGATATCGAGTTTAAAATGTGATTTCGATTGAGTAAAGCATCAATATTAAAAGTTTTAGAAAGTATTACAGATGAATTAGAATTTGGGACTAACAAGCAAAATTTTTTCTGAATTATTTTACAAATATTTACAATTACAAATATAAATTAAAAAATTTAAATTAATACAAATAATTTTTTTTAAGAAATAGAGTAGTATCTCCTATGGAGCACAATTATTACTAGCAATTATTTACGCTGCGGA